AAACTCTGTGTATACTTGCCTTACAGACATGAAAAATATATCTATAAAGAGTGAAATGTCTACTTTCAAATGAGCCAATTCAAATGGAAAACAAATATTCCCAGATCATGTAATCCATATGAAACGTGCATACAGGCGCATCCTCTACTGCGGAGATGAGTCAGTGTCGCTGACTTCATCTCTTAAACCGAAAACAAAGAAAGCACTAGTTTATCAATACATTTTTAAAATGTTAATGCAGCCTCCTTACTGTTTTCCCTAACACATTCATAATTATTACTTCTGCCGGTGTGCGGTGGCAAGCTTTATGTGTGCGCTTGAGCGCTTATTAGGCTGTGTAGGCAATTAAAGGCTTGTTAATGATTTAAATGGTTTATTAATAAACGTGCGATTAGTCGACTAATGCTTAAAATGAACGACTACTAGTCGACCAGAAAAACCAGAAAAATAGGGCAGCCCTAATGTTTTTTTTATATAGCACATTTTAAAACGACTGAAGTTGACCACAGTGACCACAGTGGTATACAAATAAACAAAATTATAAACAATAACATACAAACTGTAAAATGGGTGAAGTTCATCAAAACAGAAATTCATTACACAGCAAGTCAAGAAATATTGAATGCCAAAAACAAGTTTTAAGAGTAGACTTAAAAGTAGATAAAGTTAAAGCAGTTATGAAGGCTGATATGAACCGGGAGACTATTCTATAACTTAGGGCCGCCAACAGAAAAAGCACGATCACCTCTGTTTTTGAGTCTTGTCCTGTGAGCTTGCAGTAAACCACTAGACTTTAAAGCCTGCTTGTTTTCACAATTTAAGGGGATATAGATTTGGGTGTCATCTGCATACAGATGAAAAGAGACCCCATACTTGTTAAAACTAGATCCTAGAGGAAGCATGTAAAGGGAAAACAGCACCAGACCAAGAATCGAGCCCTGGGGAACACCAGACTTTAAATATATTTCAGATGAGGATTGGTGTCCAATACTAACAACATACCTCCTATTAGTGAGATATGAATGAAGCCACTGCAACACCGTGCCCCGAAGGCTAACGCATGTTTCAAGACGTGATATAAGAGTATTATGGTCGACTAAATCAAAGGCAGAACTGAGGTTTAACAGAACTAGAGCCATAGACTTCCCAGAGTCAGTAATTAGCATGATATCATTAAAAACTCTTAAAAGAGCTCAGTGCTGTGCAGTGCTGTGACAGGATTTAAAACTTTCCTTCAGAAATTGAATTGATAGTCAAATAAGACTGAAGTTGATTTAGAACCACTCTCTCTCAAATTTTGGAAAGAAAAGACAAATTTGAAATGGGACGAAAGTTAGCCAGTAATGTGGAATCCAAATTTGTTTTTGTTTTTTTGTTTTTAGATGAGGCCGCACTGTGGCAAGCTTCAAGTCGCCAGGGACAGTCCCAGTATAAAGACATTTGTTAATAACAGACAACAGGTCAGGGCCGACAGTCTCAATAATTTGTATTGAGGAATAATTTATATTGAGGAATCTGTAAAGAGGAAGTCTTTTGAAAGTGGCTTGGAGTCACAGCACACGTGAATATTAAAATCCCCCAAAATTAAAATTCTATCATAATTGGTGGCAATTTCCCCCATAAATTCAGCAAATTCATAAAGAAAATCCTTATTTGCATGAGGTGGTCTATTGCAAATACCACCAGACTGTCTAAAGAAAGTTGAAACAACTGAACTGACAGTACGTCATGTGTAGCCATCTATTGGTTATATCTGTCATGATCTCTGTGTGTATGATTTGCATTTGCACCAACGGACACACTGCTTCACAATCCAGTGAACCAAAACAACTTCAAACGGTTGTTCCTCTGAACACTCTCTAAATGTGCATGCAGTGTTTTCTAATGTTTTTTAACCTAATATTTTCTCTGTGTTCACGTGCTGACAGGCAGGGCCACCTTAAGATAACCAGAGGCCCCTGGGCTACAGCTTTACAGTAGGCCCCCCAACCCCAGATATTTATTTACTTACTTACTTTTTTAGCTTCCTTATTTATGTTGAATTTCGATTTTTTTTTTCTTGTTGATATGCCAGTTAACATTTACAACACCGTTACACATAATATGTGAATAAAAGTGAATATGCAAATTCATTGTCCTCATTTGTAAGTTGCTTTGGATAAAAGCGTCTGCTAAATGACTAAATGTAAATGTGAAGTGAATATGCAAATTCACTCTTTGCCAGAAGGTGGCGCTTGTGGAACAGGATTATAGTGGTTACATAAACTAAACACTGTTATTACAGGCATTATACAGAGGTTATATGAAAATGTATGATTTAAACATGGTTCTTGTCATGAATATAGCCATAGATGCTGGAATGACGTTAAGAAGAAAATAAACAAAAACATTGAAAATAACACTTGGCAAATTTGCATAAATGTGGCCTATTTGGTAATTGCTAACTATCCACACATTTGTAAGCTACTAAACTCACTGTGACAGAAAAGTTGTCCGGTTCTTTTCACACAGCAGGGCATAGCTGAAAATGTGAGTGTGTGAGTTTATTTAACAAGCAGTTTATTCATAATCAATCATTAAACAATCTTATTTTTCACGCTGTGGAAATACAAGCAGAATACAGAAGACAACACAAAGCCTTAACATTTCAGCAATATTCTTTGTTCAGTCAACTGTGTTTGACTGGTTGGGACAACATTTGGGCGACTTCTGTTGGTCTGACAAGGGTTTTGATGTAGTTTCAAGAAAACGTAAGGTTACTCGCATAACCCGTTTCTCTGAAAACAGAGTGAGGTATCTCACTATGGGAATCGCCTCAGGTG